GACACAATACCACCCATAATGTTTTATGGGTTAACATGATAATTTAATCAATTTTCTTTTATTTATTTATAGATAATTTAGTCCTGAAAACACACTGTTAAACATGACAGAGTAAGAGAGCAAAGATCAGTGCTCTTTGCTGTAAAGATGTAACATTATTTTTCTGTTTGTTTGTTTGTTTTAGCTTCATCTTGACCCTCCACCTATGAAACCAAACTTGCACCCGTGGCTACAAGTGTCACTGGCTGCTCTTGCCACAGACTGGAGATGCTGCTTTGCATTCAGTCAGCTGTCAGTTCCTTGTTCACTGTTCTCTGTTTTCCTGCAGCAACTGGCCAAGTGCAGGTAAAGTATATTTGTAGTGTGTCTTTGCCTTGTAACAACCAAGCGTTCTCATTTTATTTATGTAACGTAGCTTTATTTATTAGCAGTCTATCAGAAATAGTTGAGACATAAGGAACAACTTGTGAGACAAACGCAAATTACAGACATGAGCTCAGATGTGCTGGTTGCATAATAAAGTTGATATTGACTTGGATTTGTCTCTGCAGAACTGAAGTGGTCTTTTACTATTACCTAAAGAGAACAATGTGTATGTGTGAAAATAAAACACATTCTGTCATGTGTTTATCTCAGCGAAGCCAGGAAATGAACAAGCTAAAGAACCTGAGTTGAACAGAACAATTCTTTGAAATACAACACAAGCTTACATGAGCACAGTTGATATGCCGGTAACTAATGCAAAAACATATTTTTTTCTGCCTACCCTTGAGACTAAATGTACTTTTCTAAAGATAGCTTGTGTGGTCAGTGGTTAGATGGACACATTATTTGTTTTGCAAAGGGGAGCAGCATCTGTAGCATCCACAGACAGAATTATAGACCCACTGATGTCAATTGGTATCATTACAGAGTCGGACTGTCCATCAGGCATACAAGGACAAATCCTGGTGGGCTAGTGGACTGTCAGTCTCTTTTCTCTGTATGCCTGTCATTCAGGGTGCACACGTTTGTGTGAAAGCTTACATCCTGATTAAAGCCTAATTTTATGACTAGTGTTGTATACCTTACACTCCAAACACCAATCTCTAAATACATGTAGGGAGGAGATAGGAGAATCATGAAAACCGATGTCATTTGTGTTTGTGTTCAAATCCTAGCTCATCTCTGTAATATTATTCTTATTTAGGATTGCATAATATTGCTAAAGATATACCAGCTGCAAAAGGCAAAACCTGAGTATCCCAGAGGATAACAGGGTATTGGTGTGCATATAAACACACTCAATGGGGCTTTGTTAATGGAGCTTGATGATTTTGAATGGAAAATTATGCTTCCTGTCTTGTCTGTTTTATTAACCCTTGGCATTTGTCAGCAGTAAGAAGGGACATTTGTATTTAGGAGGTGTCTGTGTAATGGAAACAAAGTGGGGGAAAAGACAGAGGAGACATCTACGTAAAGCACATGTGCGAACACAATGTGCTTCCTCTTAATTTAATGTGGCATGAATCACTCAGTGGACTGTCCACATTGTGTATGTAAATGAATTGCACATTGACCATTGGGACCATTCTGTGTTTTTCCTTTTTTTTCCATCAACTTTTCCACCTGAAAAAGGAAAGTGGATAGAAAAAGATAAAGTGAGAAGAAAGGAGAGAACATGTTCTTACTATGCAGAAACAATATCTTTTGATGATATCAACTTAATAGTTATCTAACCTTGGGCACTGACACACGTGTGCCTCATCCCATACATAAATGTTTTCTATTATATAATATACATGTTCCGTTTCCATGACAACACTTATTATTATTCTATTTATACTTGTGATCGGAGCATGAGGATGCAAAGAGAATAACATAAATAAGACCTGGCTATGTTTTAGGCTATTTTACAGAATACTGTGTGCATGTAAACACATTCATCAACACAAAGGTCTTGGCGCCACTGATATGGGGAACTGTGCCTTGAATGAGTAGTGGTCACTTAGGACAATACAGAAATGTGTTTTAAGCTGTATGCATTTACATTAGTGCAGAGAGGCTCAGTTATCAAATAAAACTAATGTTCAGTTTTTGTGTAATGTTACGCAAGGCATGTACACCCAGAGTTAGGTGTATCATTGCATGCCAAAGGGTGATTCAATAGGTTTGCATTGTGGTTAAGTTGGAAAAGAATCTACTCTGTGGTTTAAATGAATCAATGTAGGTATCTATTGTAACATATGGCCAACAGTATGTGGACACCCCCAGATGTGATTGTTTAATATCTCTTTTCAAAATCATTGATCTACTGCTATACTGTATCAGGGTCCAAATCTCTGAAAAGGCTCTCCACAAGAATTTGGAATCTGGGAACACGGATTTGCTTCCACTGAGCCAGAAGAGCACTGGTGAGGCTGGCGTATTCTAGAGGCATGAACAGAAGACTTGAAGAAGACACTTCGCATTGCCTGCTAGGGATGGGAATTGATATTTTATTAATATGAATTCTGCTTATTGGTCCGATTGTATATTGATTCCTTTAATAATTCCCGATTTTCTGTTTGGAAAAATTAGGCTGACACAGGTCTTCAGCAACAACATAACTTGTTTTATTATCTCTAAAAAAAGCATGCATGTCAGAAAAAGCATGCCAGCATTGATAAAAGGAATAGATAAGCTCAAAGGCATACGATTCAGATGGTTCAGACAATCCAGAACCAGTACTCAATTGGAACTGGTTCTCGATTTCCATCCCTATGGACAGCAGCAAAGACAAATCTATCCAAAAGCAGATGTTCTTACAAGCGCTCCTGTGAGTGGTGTGTACGCTGGATAATTAATGATGAGAATGGTGTTACAGCACGAACAGAAGACAGCTGTATTTGATTTATTAATGGCGATTCGATTTACATAAATTAATAAATGATGACCAGTGGAGGAATTGGCTTCAGTATTTCACCAAATAATGTCCTCTGGTAGAAGAAGGTTTTCCATGCTGGTTTCTCTCTGAGCTCAGCCAGCGCTCAGTCATGACGCACTTCTCAGTTGGCAGTCTAGACATGCCAAAATCCTGATCCTCCATGGCATAAACCTGGGGGGCATGGAGGAACATGTTGTTTGGCCTGAGTTCATGAGTGGAGATCATCACAACAAATCAGAAACTTTAAAAAGTGTGGGCAAATATAAAGTCTGGGCCATTTTTAGAAATTATTTTTTTCACCACTCAGAACCCCTGACTGTACAATACAGACTGACAGCCAGGTTAAGAGCAGGGAGGCTGCTGGATGAGAGAAAAACAGCCTCAGGTTAGGTGCAAAAATTTTTCAACAGTTGTAAATAAACACAGAATAACCTATATTCAAAACTTCAACAACTGTTAATAAACATGGAAGAGGCTTTACTCTGCAGAAAGGCTGCATAAAAACACACTTCACTGATGGTCTTGTATCTACTTTTTAATGGCAATTTAAGGCAATTTCTTAAGCAATAAAAGTTTGAACCTTTCATATCCACTTAGGAATGAGGAGGAGTACCTTTTGATGCTTTATTTACCTGCTGAATAGAAAGCATTTGAGACTGTTGGAATGCCCAGAGATGAAAAAGGAAGCACATTTCAACTGACTGCAATCTGTCAGTCTTGTATGAACAACCAGAGAATCTTCACTGCTTCATAACTGCAAATAAGTGTTTCCAACCACACTTGGCATTTGAGCACCTTGCAGCCATCTGTGGTGCACAGTAAGATCTGCAAGAAAAGTAGTTTCAGATAAGTTGATTCAGTTTCCTGTTGTAACCCAGCATGCAGGTTCTGTCCAGGGCAGTTCAATGAACACATTTGAGGTCTAAGCACCTGTTCCACGTTCAAAGATTGATGCAGTCCTTCTTGTACACAGCCTTATCAATCTATTGATTTATAAGAGGTGACAGTTTGACGCAAAAGGAACCAGTATTCCCTTCACTTACACAGTAGAAGTACAGATGGTTGGTGTCAATTAATGTGATCTCGCTCTGTGATTCCTGCTGTAAGAAGACCTATGCATGTGTAAGAGGACACATAAAAACACCAACAGCCATTTGGTCTTTGAATGGAGAAGAAGAGAATCCAAGCTGGTGTCAATAAGCTGACTTCAGGTGCTTCAATGCCATTAGTCCTTATTAAATCATTTCTGATCTGTGATGGAGTAGCAGACAGTGTGTGTGGTAAAAAAGAAAGACAGTACACTGTAGTGACTCATACAAACTACAACAGTGACATCTAGAGACTGCTACTGTGATGGAAATTGTGTAGCAACAAGGTTCATAAACAAGAAAATGTCTTTCTGAGTTTTATTATTACACTTGCAAGTGTGGCTGTTACAATCTGATAGTTTCAGATAGCAAGGGTCATCATTTCTTAAGCAAACAGTTGCTTTATTCAGACATATGATGTGATGTCCTTGAGGAAATTACAATAAGAAATCACATTTTTTAGGTGTGTCTATACATGTGATACATGAGGTAGAAAGTCTTGCTTACCTCTTTAATGAATAGCTTGATTTATAAACTGGTGATGACATACAAGGATGGAAATGTTGGGCAATGAGTGCTAGTTTTATCAGACTGGTCTTTTATGATTTTTTTCCGTTACAGTTCCCCCTTTTGTGCAGTGCACAGCTTTGCTTTAGCACTGATGGTGCACATCAAGGCCTCAGTTACAGACAGAGGCCGTTTCACGTATATTGTCACAATTCATATTTTAAAGGGTTAGGGTTAGGGTTACATTTTGCTGAAAGTAATTTCTTTCGTTTCTCGATCCCCTGCTTATAAGTTAAACTTAAAATTACTAATTTAAGAATAGCTCGAAAAGACATCAGTTGCATGTAGTTGGACAGAAAAAATAAACTAATTTCCCCGTGAAATGAAGCGACACTTACTGTATGTACTGATGAAGACGGAAATAAATGCTAACTGACTTTCACTGTCGGAACTTTCCTATGTGACACCCAGCGGAAGTAAACAAAGCGCTAGCAAGGTAAGCTCTATGGGTGTAGGGAGACGATGGTGTCGCAGATTAATATTTCAGTGGTGATGAAGCAACGACGTCTCCTGTTCAGTATTTGAGAGAGTTTGTCAGAAAGCGACTAACAGCTGCTGCTGAAGAAATACTCTTTGAAATGTTTCTATGACAACAGTATCGTCGAGTACGAAGAAGAAGTGACCGTCAGCGCAGACTGTTGGTTATCATTTGAAACCCCGAAGTAAAGTTCCACATGACAGGTCTGTGAAACCAGAATGGTCTTAATGAAAACTAACAGACACGCTTTTTACTGAGATGTCTGATCGTGAGTCACTCATGTTCCACTGGCATATACCACCTCTCATCTGCACATAATGGCTCTTATTAATGCAGACCACTGCTGATTATAATATGCTGATAGAGTGCAACTTGTGAACAGCTCACTGTAAGGCTTCACTGATGCTGGACATGCTGCATGTTATGTTGTTTTATAGATATTTCAGACCAATTTCTTGTTCATGTTAGAGTCCACCCATTGCATGCTCATTCCCTGTTTTTATCATAAAATCATGCAATACAGACTAATAAAGTGCTACTGATTTATTATTTATTTTTTCAATATTATATTTTGTCTGAGACACTTGAAACCATTTTTGCCCTCATATGGGCCTCCTCCAACTACCTGCCAGTGGAGCATAAGTGACCATTTCCATGTGGCACACACAGTGACAAACCAATAGTCAGCAGCTGCATATGGCTGTAAAAAATAGGCAAACTGTGGGGGACTGGTATACAGCAGTGGAAGAGGAGCGAGTCGAGTGACAGGCTGTCTTGTGCCATAATCTGGTCGATCAGCAATGACAAACCAAAGGTCAAAGTGGTGGTTTAACAGTGATAAGCTGTTCAAAAGGCGCACACACTATCAGCATATCATAATCAGCAGTGGCCTGTATTAACATGAGTCAGTACGTGCAGATGAGAGGTGGTATAAGACAGAAGAACATGAGTGGTATACTATTTATAAGGGCTACAAGCTGGTAGAACAGGAGTGGCATACCAAGAACAGACAGTGACAATAAACCACTTCTGCCACTAAAAACGAGTGAGATAAACTCAGAGACTTTTTAATGTGTGTTGCCACTATTTCTTGTGTGCAGAGCTCTCACAGCAACATGTCTGCAAGGAGGAAGAGGTTCTCGCTGAGCAGCAGCTCTGCAAACAGGAGAGGAACTCCAATCTGGACCAAGAGGACCCAGAGCCTCCACAGATTAAAGAGGAACATGATGAACTCTGTATCAGTGAAGAGGGAGAGCAGCTTGTACTGAAGCAGGAGACCGATGCTTTTATGTTAACTCCTACTTATGAGGAAAATGGCCACAGTGAAGTAGATCGAAACAGTGACCACAATCTTCTCTCAGGTAAAAACTCTTTAAAACGTGACACTCATGGCAAAGTCCAAATTGAATAAATGTAATTTCCCATTGAGAAGAGGTCTGCCTGAACTCATAAAGGCTTATGCTCCTCCTTGGCCACTGCGTTGTTCCAAGGCATGTCGTCTGACATTGCCATCCCTGCACACAAGGCAATTGCAGTACAGACTGTTCTTGTTTGTGGTTCCCCGATGGTGGAACAGGCTACCAAATACTGTAAGAGCAGGAGTGGCCCTCCTTATCTTCAGGAATCTCTCTTCTGAGAGCACCTCTTCTTTGAACACCACAAACACCATAACAGGCCTTACTAGCACTTTCTATACACTTTTGGTGCATTTCTTTACCTGATCTCCTTGCTCTTTGCCTTATTGAAAAAAAAATTGTATTTAGCACATACTTCAATCTCTCCTACTGCACTGAAGCTTTAATGTTATCCCACACTTGTAAGTTACAGGGCTTCCTCAAGGGGTTTTCGGTTCCTTCAATTCTTTCATCGCAGACACACACCACCGTCTGGTCAGTTAGCGGTTCTTTGTACAATCTAACATAATGAAATGAGAACAAACATGTTAATGTCTTAAGAAGTATGTAATATATATGGTGTTTGATGCAGTGTACCAGTTGACGTGAGAACCTCATAATCTTTTAGTTTTTCTAACTGGGTGGAAAAACGTTTTACTTCAAGACATGGAAAGAGAGGATTTTTGGGCAGTGGTGTGGCAGAGGTACAGCAGTCCTTGTTGTTATCAAGACATGCCAGGACCACTGTGAGAATAACTTCTTTTAACTTTGTCTTTTTATCCTGTGTCGTGCTTTAGTTTTACACTGTTTGCTTTTTGTGCTTCTTGTGGTTTGTTTTGCACCATCTATTGTACTTATTGTGCATTTTCCCCTTTCTCTACATTTTATTTATTTATTTTCTAAATATTTAACAATAATAATCTTTATTGTCCATGAATGTGGAAATGTTCCTTCAGCTTCACAGTCTGGTGAATCAAGATCTCATTTTTTCCATGATCCCATTACTAACCTATTTCTTGTGTCCCTTTGTCCCTCCAGAGCTCCCACAGCAACATGTCTGTAAGGAGGAGGAAGTCCTCACTGACCAGGAGTTCTGTAACCAGGAGAGGAACCAAGAGGATCCAGAGATTCCACAGATTAAAGAGGAACATGACGATCTGTGCATCAGTCAGGAGGGAGAGCAGTTTGTAGTGAAGCAGGAGACCAATGCCTTTATGTTGACTGCTACTTATGAGGAAAGTGACCACAGTGAACCAGAACCAAACAGTGACCACCAGCTCCTTTACCACAACTCTCCTGTAGCTGAGATTCAAGATCAGAAAGGAAACAAGCATGTAGACCCAGGATCAACTACAAATGCAGAGCCAAAGCCAAAGAAGAGATGTCACAAAAACACAAGTCACAATAACAATGAATACAACTCTGCCACAACAGAGACTCACTGTGATACTCACACAGGTAAAAAGTCTTTAAAATGTGACATTTGTGGAAAAACATTTCAATTCAAGTCCAAAATGATCATACATCTGAGAAGCCACACAGGTGAGAAGCCGTATTTGTGCAAATCATGTGGGAAAAGTTTCAGTCAGAAAGCACATTTGAATGAGCATTTGAAAATCCACAGAGATGAAAAGCCATATTCTTGTGAAACATGTGGGAAAGGTCTCAGAACTAGTAAAGCCTTGCTGGTTCACGTAAGAACCCACACAGGTGAGAGGCCGTATCTGTGCAAATTATGTGGGAAAAGTTTCAGTCAGAAATCACATTTGAATGAACATTTGAAAACCCACAGAGATGAGAAGCCATATTCTTGCAAAACATGTGGGAAAGGTCTCAGAAGCCGGAAAGCTTTGGTGATCCACATGAGAATCCACACCGGCGAGAAGCCGTACTCCTGCCACACCTGTGGGAAAAGCTTCAGTCACAAATCTTCATTGAATGGTCATTTGAAAATCCACACAGATGACAAGTCATATTCTTGCAAAACATTGTAAAAGTCTAGAACTAGTCTTGGTGATACACATGAGAACCCATGCAGTTGAGAAGCCGTACCCTTGCAACACCTGTGGAAAAATTTTCTCTTGGACAGCACACTTGCAAAGGCACATTAGAATTCATAGAGATTGAAAGTCGTGTTACAGAACATGGGTCCACATGAAAAGAACCCACACAGGTGAAAAGCCACATCACTGCAACACCAGGGGGAAAAGATAATACTTCAGTGTGTCTCAGTTGGGAAAACATGTAAGATCACATACAGGCAAGTAACCTTATATTTGCCAAGAGATGATTGTTTATTGACAAAATGCACAGATGTGAAAAGCCACATAATTGCAGCTGTTGTGAGAAAGGTTTTTCTGAAGTGACAGTTGAAAAAACACCTGAGAATAAGTTTATACGGGCGAAATTAGTGTGAAGAGTTCTCCAACTGAATTAAATACACTTTTGCAATGCAGTACATTGTCAACAATGCCATCAGGTTTTCTTAAAGGTCCCATATTGTGGAAAGTGAGATTTTCATGTCTTTTTTTAATATTAAGCAGGTCTTGGAAAGCGCTCAATCCACAGATAAAATGCACAGAGCCTGTATTCAGAAACTGTGCCTTAGAACGTGCCATCAGGACCTCCGTTACTTTGTGATGTCACAACAAAACAGTCACCGCCGTCATGCCCCGTTCACCGTCCAGCCTTTCAGAATTTGGTTTCTCAAAGTGTTTACCTGAAATTTGCTTTATTTTTAGTCAGTCTCTATTAAGCACTCTTAGCACTCCTGTTTGCCCCATCACCCACTTCCCTGATGTCCCTGATGGTCTTGGATGGATTCTGCGACCACACTCCCCTGGCAGGCCTCAAAGCACAATAGCACAGTACTGGCCCGCCTGGAGGGTCTAGCACCCAAGGAGAGAGAGCTGGAGGCAGGGGCAGCATGCTACACCCCTTTTGCATTGGATCTGGACGCTACATTGCTATTGCCAGATGTTCTGGTAGTTTGCACAGAATCAAGCTTAAGACTCCGGTGTGTAGCTCCACACAAAATCCAGCTGGAGCATTTTAGTCAAAATTTGTTTGGCTCATTTTAGTGCTGACTGACCATCACCATTACTTACTAAACAGTTAGCCATTCAGAAGAGAGGTTCTGACCCCTTCCTCTGACCAACCTCTTGTTGCTAGAGCTCTAGAGAGAAGCCTGAGAGAGGAGATGTTAAACGACACTGAGATGGTTTTTGGCACTTAAAACTACAAATACATTTTATGGATATCAAAACACTGAAAAAAGTGATTATATGGGCCCTTTAAACTGGGCTCATTTTTTCCTTCATATGACTGTAATACCCATATTTCTGTTTGCAGCAGTATTTCTTTGAAACAAGTATTTGAAGAATCTTTGTTTCACAGTGAGTGCGTATTTCCTACAAATGTAAGAGGTTAACCTCTGAAATTAATAGTTTTTTGGTGTTTTTTGTTTGCTTGTTTGTTTTTTGTTTGTTTTTGTTTTTTTTTACAATTTTTACACTCTACCTCAGTTATATTGTGAACTCTGAAGTTGAAGTGCTCTTGGGTCACTTATGTTGTCATCCTGCCAAATAAAAGTCTTCTCTTTTTTTTGTCTAAAGCATGTCATCTCATTTTATATTTTCATGTATTTAATGATCAACGTTCACGGAACGTTCCCCGGACCGGAAATCGTAAACTCGGTATAGATGTTAGATAAATGGAGTGGATTAAACATTACAATATTATCTTCTGAATTGTTTCAGGACCACAAGTAGCTAGAGACAGCATTAAATTGAAATACTGAAGTAAAGTACAAGTATCTAAAAACTGTTGCTACGTACAGTATGTACAGTAGACCACTTACCTGTACATTACTCTCCTCCACTGGAATTGACGGAGAACAAACTTTGCATTTTACACATTGTTATTACAAGGAGGTTATGTTTTCCCCCGTGTTTGTTTGTTTGTTTGTTTGTTTGTTTGTTTGTTTGTTTGTTTGTTTGTTTACCAGCCGGATATTACACAATAGGTACTGAACCGATTTATGGGCCAGAGAAGAACCTAGTAAATTTTGATGCCGATCCGGAAAAGGGGGATCCAAACATTTTTTTAATCATTTGCGAGATAAGACACTTTCTCGGTCTCTTAGGATATAATGGATCTTTTTAAAAATCTGACATAAGTAGTTGACTTTCTACAAAGTGGCGCATATCCAAATAATCTGGATCAGACAGACGTTTCGGATTGCTTGGATTTGGCGCAGGTATGCGCTCTACTTAGTCTAGTTAGGAGATGCAAAGAAAACATAACCGAACGCAGCCCTCGAGTCCCCGGTCACATGCTAGTCAAGCTGGATCAGCTGACACCACACAGCTTCTCCTTTTGATGCTCTTCTTCCTCCATCGGATCACAGCGCTTCTGAAAAGACAAATATTTCGCTATCTTTGTCTTACTGGCGTCAATTTTTAAATTTGAGCCAGGTATATCTTGCTGATCCAGCAGGTTAGGCTGCCGAATAGATGTTGTTAGAGTGGATGATGAACGGACACGCCATTCTTTACACGGGGGTCACTTTGGCCTTTTGGAGCACCATACTAATCGTCGGTAAGAATATATTTTCCTCAATAATTAGTGAGAATGATGAAATTAATGAATGAAATCGTCTGTTTCCTTAACTTATGCAGCAATCGTAGTGTAGTCGGTCGTTCGTTCTTTGCAGAAAAACGCGTTTTTTGCGTTTGACAGCTATTATTAGGGACCTGGCTAAATCATGGGACCAGAATGGTTACGTCTGTTTCCATTTTGTTTGCTAGCTTCCATTGGCAGGTAAATTTGCCAGCTGGATATAAGGTTATTCATGCATGGTAGTAATTGGAGGACAGAACACGATTTGACTTTGCTTGTTATCAAAATTTTACTAGTTAACATTTAAGACAAGCATTTATGTCTTGGTGTCTAAGTTAGCATTTCGCTAGCGGAAACTTGATGTTAGCTAATGCCCGGTAGCTCATAGCTAACCGCTTGCCGCAGAAAATGTCAGATATTCAAACACTGAACGGCAATGTTTACGATTGATTTCTGGTGTCTAATTTCAGGCTTAATACGGTGTGTGTTCTTATGGGATATTGGATCCATATCATTCCACAGGTTTAAGTCATTTAATCAAGCTAAGCTAACTTTAGCTGGTTAGCTGGTAGTGTATACAGCTGACTGGTTTGAAACGGTCCTAGGAAGGAACTGCAGCAGTTTTCACGTGAGAGTGAGGTATCAGACTGAAGGTGCAACTTCTGTCATTGACTTTAGCACATTAATGTGACTCTGCATTAGGCACGGTGCAAAGGAAAAGTCTATTAATGCACTAACATTCAGCAAATGTCTATACTAAGGGATTCCCTCTTTCACGTACATCAAGCTTACTTGTAAATGCACTTATGGCAGATCTTTTTACACTTCCACATGGGAATTAATACATTTTTTGGTTTCTTTAGGTATCTGCTATACCATATTTGACCTTGGATTCCGCTTTGATGTGGCATGGTAAGTAGTCTCGGCACAAATGCACTGATGAAAAAGTAAAAGAAGCTCTAAAGATGCAAAAAGGGTAAATTAATTTTTTTTTAAAGGCTGGTAGCCGGTTTATATCTTGAGAATTAGTTTACCTCTAAGTTGTGCTAATGATGGTCCTTTGACCAAAATGTTCACTTCTAGTCACATTTTTTCATTGTCACCTTTTACATGAAATAAATGGACTCTTCTCAGCCTCTCTTACTTTATTGTTAATGTGTGTGTTGTTTTTTTCTATGAATGGGGCAGTTAATTTTGGCCACACACACCGGACATCATCATTTGAAAAGGCTGGATTCAAGAGCACAAACCCAGTAACAATCCTTTACAAGCCTTCTCTCTGCAGGTTTATAAAAAGTAGCTATAGCTTTTTGGACAAAACAATACAAAATTCAGGACTCCCGCACTGGCCCAAATAGGACTGCTCAAGTTCTAGCAAGTTTTCTTGCGTCACTTTACAACCTAAAAGTGTGAGTTTGGTATGTTTGCTTGAGTCTAAACACTGCTAGTGTTTCCACATAAAGTAGCTTTATCAGCTGTACTTCTTTACTCACAGGTTCCTGACAGAGACTTCTCCTTTCATGTGGGCCAATCTGGGTATTGGCTTGGCCATCTCTCTGTCTGTGGTGGGAGCTGCCTGGTGAGTACTTAACTAGGAACATTATTTAAAGAGTACTCTATAGCCACCTGTCAGGTATTTTTAATGTGTAAGGCAGAGGTAGAGCCACTTGTCAGCCTAAAATGCAACATTAATTCATCTAATAATGTCCTCATTCTTGAAACACTCAGGAAAAAACCTTATGTGTAAATGTGGAACTGGAAAATTTGAAAATGAGTAATACAGGAACACTCTTGAGTTTCCTTTGGATGGGGTTGTGTTCCTTTATAAGTTCCAAAATTAATTGCTGAATCATAAGCGATAATGTTAGTGACCCTCAAACTACATTATACAATAACATAGACTGTTGATGAGCTGTATTTTTTTTACATTTTATTTGCTTTAGAGTGGTCCTGACAAGCTGCAGTCCACACTGTATTTGGACAGTTACACATTTTTCTTGTCTGTTCTGTTCATTTGCATAAAATTTATAATAAAATAACATTATTATTATTATTATTATTATTATTATTATTATTGATAAATTAAAGTGGATTTAAGGGCTATATTTTCCACATATTCCTTTCTATATTGATGGAAACCTACTCATATTTAAGCTGAGGCTTGGCACTTTAACGTAGTATCTGTTATTTTATTTCAAATTGAGCTTGCTGAAGCACGGTGTCTGAAGAACAAAAATTTGTCACTGTCCAAATATTTACTGTCTGGATTGTAAATCGACTTCAAGGAACTGCCACTGAAAAAGCTTGACTCATGCAGAGCCTTCAGCTGCCTCACATCTTCTGTTAAAAGTTGCACTTGAACACATCATAAAGACTAGAGCAGAGGACATGCAGACGACTGAGATGCATGCACACTACCATCTGTACTACCAAACCAAATTGCAGAGAGACGAACAAAAACTATGCATTTTGAATCTGATTAAACAGTCTCATTATACACTTGAGATTCAAATTGAAAATATTTCTGATTTTAAAAAAAAAAAAAAGAAGTTTTGCCTCACTTTGCTCTGCTGTTGTCAGCCCATTGTCACTTGAAAAAAAAAATAAAAATCTATATTTAAAAACTAAGTGGGTGAAATTCTTGATTCACCAGCCAAAGAGCTCTGTCACAGACATCATCTGATGCAGATTCATCAAGCAGAATTGGCTGAACAAAAATCCCATCATCATCATTCTTAAATTTTTTTCAGTGAAAATGAAATGCAAAAACGACCATTCCAACTGAAAGTGCCATCGCAATATCTGCCAAATAATTGCAATATGATTTCTTTTGCATATCGCGCAGCCCTATTTACAGCTGTAATTTTGAGCACAAGGATGTCCAGTAATATGTGTAAATTGGGTCTTCTACAGTTCAGTCAAATGCTATTAGCAAACCTTAAGTAGCACTTAACTTATCAATCCCTGTGGTTTCCAGAGCAGTAATAGAAGATTAAATGATCAGTAGATCTTTGGTTGTGTTCTCCCACTAATTTTCTGTGATGTTAAAGATGTGCTTATTGTTGCTTTTGTTTTTCAGGGGAATTTACATCACTGGCTCAAGCATCATTGGCGGTGGTGTCAAGGCTCCACGAATCAAGACTAAGAATTTGGTCAGGTAGGCTCACTGAAGAACAAAACCATTCAGTTCCATTTGATCTATTTCTCATTTATCTGATATTTTATTATCTCTGTTTAAGTTACATACACACATACTGTACCTGCTCAGCTGTGCAGGATTATCCAGTTGAACGTACTTGAATATTGCCGCTGAACAAAAAATTATATTTTTGTATAAATTTCTAATCTGTATATTGAAATGCTTGAAATGCAGAAATGGTTGTGTAGTTGCGTTCCTCATGGAGAAATGTAGTGGCCATTTAAAACCAGCCAGCAATGCCAAAACATTTGTAAGTACTGGTCAAAGTATGACTGCAGCTTTTTACAAGTGTTACCTAATCTCTTAAGTGCATCCTACACAAATGCATTTTCGCTCAGATGTGCTAAAGTAAAATCCACATCAGCAAAATCCTGAGTCCTGCTTTTAGTTGCAAAGGGCAGCCAGTGAATTGCGGTTCCACCAAGCATCCATAATCACAGTTTGTTACTCCGCAGCAGTGCTTTGTAGAGACTTAGGAGAACCAGCTGCATGTTTGAAACAGTAATTTTCACTCCATTTGTTTGTTTGTTTTTTTTGTTTTTTTTTAATGTGTCCCTCCAGCATCATCTTCTGTGAAGCTGTCGCAATCTATGGGATCATCATGGCCATTGTAATCAGCAACATGGCTGAGGTGAGCAATGAGCATTTTCATCATTCATGTTCAGGAAAGCTGCAGTTATCCATTTTGTCTTCAGAGGAAAGTTCAGACAGCAGTACTATACAGAAGAATGCACAGCCATAAATTAAAGTATTATATATATATTTATATATAGGAGATGAAAGAAGCTTAATATGATTTAGACTCCACAGCAATGATGGTTGGTTGGTTTTAAAGATAATCTCTCATCCTACAGAACTTCAGTGGAACAACCCCCGAGACCATTGGAGCAAGGAACTACCAAGCTGGTAAGAAAGCAGACATAAAGCTACTAAAATGCAGGTCTTAAAAGAAATATCCAACTCAAAAAATATAGACAATTTTAACATTTTTAATATGTGTACATTCAACTTCTGGATTACGAATATCTGACTCTGATTTGCTTTCTGTCCGACTAGGATACTCCATGTTTGGAGCCGGTCTGACTGTAGGCTTTTCTAACCTCTTCTGTGGCATCTGTGTCGGCATCGTGGGCAGCGGAGCAGCTTTGGCAGACGCCCAGAACGCCAGCCTCTTCGTGAAGATTCTCATTGTGGAAATATTTGGCAGTGCCATTGGCCTGTTTGGTGTTATTGTAGCCATTCTGCAGGTGAATGAGACAGGCTGCTTTTTTTTTTTTTTTTTTTTTTTTTTTTTTTATTGTTTTCATAGTCATTCTTTTTCCCTTAGAGGAGGAATCTACTCATGGTTTGACAGATGTTTTACAGATGTCAGTGCAAAGACAGTAATTATTTCCACAATGGTCTAGATAGATGTGTTTCTTTGACAGTGATTCCAGTTGTGTATGCATTTAAAATTCTGTAATAACTGTTTACTTTTTTTTTTTTTCTCCCACAGACGTCGAAAGTAAAGATGGGTGACTAGAGGATGCATTCACACACAACGAAGATAAAAAAAAAAAAAAAAGACCTTGCTGGGAAATAAGATGGATTATTGTGTAAATACATCGTAAATTATTTAAATGTCTCTATTTGCCTGGTATTATTTTTAACCATCATTCATGCAAGAGTTGTTGGCGCTTCCTTTTGTCTCAAACATAAAGGTTGAGGAGGAAAACTCACGTGACACCGGTGCAGTTTTTGTGGCTTTCGGGTTCCGAGTGAGCCCTGTATATTTGCAAAAGTTGAGCTAAATGAGTAGTACAAACAGAAATGTACATGGTTTGAAGGATTGTACATTAATGTCTGTTGCTTATCAGGAGTCTGTAGTCTTAAGAGCTTTGATGACAACTTGCAGCTGTGGCGCATCCATCAAATTGTATACCGCTTGGGTCGTTTACAAGGCATAATTTCTTCTGACCACTCTTGGATGAATGATGACTTAAAAATTACACTAGAGTATTTGAAAATATATATGTGTGTGAGTGCGTGTGTGTATGTGTGTGTGTGTGTGTGTGTGTGTGTGTGTACACTGGATACATGAGTTTTTTTTTTTTTTTTTTTTCTCTTTTCTTTTTCCTGTGAAGCATGAGGGTGTTTACCATTGTGTTTGTAGCCTGGTCTGTCAGTTTTTGTTTTTTTGCATCTGTTCTTTGCTAATAAGCAAGTGGTCCTTAATCCACACAGTGGCCCAAATACAGTATTTGTCAGGCCTCCTACTGTAGAAGTCACAGAGAATCTGTAAAGTTTTGAATTAGAGTACTGATCTGGAATCATTAGTAAGGTAACGGGACAGTTGGATATGCTTTTTGGGAGGCCAAATACAGTTGGATCACAGCAGCAGATTTGCTCTGAATATGTCATCCTGTCATTCATTTCCTGATTTCCTGAAAATGTTATAGCACTAAGATTTCTACATTTGAAGCCCGTGAGCCTCTTGAACATAGCTGCCATCCAGAACTCCCTGTTTTTCCCTAGAGTCTCCCTTTGGATTTAGTTTTATGCATGTTGTGATCCTTTCCAGTAGTTTTTACAACAATAAATCAGATACCGGAAGACGGGGAAGCCAAATGATTGTGGGTAACTAGAATACCATTCAAATGACCATTTGTCCAAAGTTTTGTGCACAGAGAACTTTAACAGGCTTACGATATGACTTTAGCTTGAAGCTGGTTTTAGGAAACCTGATGTGTCAGGTCACATATGAACAAAGTCAAAACCGCTGTCCTTTCTTTCTCAACACATTTGTTCAACCTTACATTCTCTTAGACTGGAAATTGGAGTTTATTTTAGAGGGCATCACACTAGTATTAGCTTACACCCAATATTAACTGTTAACTGTTAATAGTCGCTGTAACATCACCTTTTGTTGAACAAGTGAGTCTTTTGGGAAAATAATTTTGTATAAATGCACTGGTCCGCTGACTTGTATTTTAAGCAATCTCAGGTGGTTTGGTGCCCAAAACTCTTGGTAAAAACTATGGACTCCAGTGCATAATCAGCTTTATGGATACTGATTTTTAATATCCTTATTTTACACAAAAATCTAATTCTACAAATCTTCATGTTGCTTTTTTTTTTTTTAAATTAAACTGTCTTGTTTTGAATGTACACATTAACATACATTTGACAATATTTTATCAAATGTTAACTTCATGCCTGTGTTCCCAAATTATTATTTTCTAACATTCCTTAAGATTCCTTCATGTATGTGTTTAAAAGTGAGTCTCGTGTGTGTGTAGGGTGCACAATGAATAGCAGACAATATTAGACTCGTGCTGCATCACGAAGCCACCATTAAAGCTTTATAATCTTAGTTTGTATGAACGTTCTTGTCAGCTGGTTGCTGTACAGTGTACAGTGCTGTATCCCATTTATGTAAACTTAGAAATCTGGCTAAACAGATTATTTTTCTGAGCCTTTGGCTGCCAGTAGAATAATGTGGATGTGGGCACCGAGTGCAAAATGCTGCAATGTTGAGTCTAAGGTTTTTGGTGACATGTTTGGAGACACATTTTGTTCTTGATGCATCATTCCACGGAGATGACAGACCACGGCTAATTGTGAATTGTCTGAAATCTTTCCTTGTAATTTTTCCTTGACCGTTCTTGTGAAGTTCTGAAAGAGAGTATAACAGAGTATGAATCTAACATGGGGAAACTGAATAGACTTAAGTATATCTAGACCTGGCCTCCCAAAGGTGTCTTAGCTGCAAGATCATCTTTGCCTTTATGATGGTTTTATAATTCAACCTAGATCAAACTCCAAGATGCCTTTGGTAAACCAGGCTCTGTACCAAACCCCTGGCTTTCAGTGACTGTAGTTGGTACTGTGTGTTTATTATGTTGATGTGATGGTGATCAGAAAATAACTCATTGTTTTTGACATTGTGTATGATAAGAAAAACAGATCTTCCTTCTGGCTTCATAAATGTCCTCGAGAAAATAAAATGGTTCAATCAAGTTCTTGTTTCTGATTGCTTTCATCTGCATGTCCCGTTTTTAGTTGTATCCAAGAGTCCAGTCGTCTTGAACGGTGCTTTGCACTTTTTTTTTTTTTTTTTTTTTAAATGCTGACCCAGGTAACAGACATTGATCTGAACACTACTGGTATTGATTCTATGGAGTTGACCTGCAGTTTTTTCACATTTCCACTAGATGGCACAGAAAACCACGACATCTGTCTACTGAAAACACTGGTACTGTACACACCACTTACCCATATCCTCTGTTACTACTTAACTTGAAAGCATGGCAACAGTTAAGTTTTTTCCCCCAAAATTTAATATAGATTTTCTATCCATTCATCTTGCTCTCTCATATTATTGTAATTTTTATTCTCTTATTATTTCCCCCATCAATGTTGGCTGCAGAAATTTTATATCCAATAAGAATACACCAAATTGGCCAAATCATATTCGTCAAAATCGTTTTGATGCCAGATGTTTTATAAGAATTTCACATCTGGTAAATGACTTGGATCTTTTCCCCAAGTTAAAGAGACCATACTAAACTTAAAGAGTATATGATGTACAATCTAATGACCAAATATATACAAATAGACCAAGAGTTAGTCAACCAAGACCCCATGACCAACTAGTCAGCGGGTAAGAGGGAGGGCAATCCTATGAACTGTTACAATTAACCTTTGAAATGTGTTATGTCTGTATAGTTAGACTATTTTTTAATGAAGACCAAACCATGTTTGTGAGTATTATTTTGTTGCCAGATTTTTGGTGGCATTTTACTTTAATACCAAATGAATAAAAGCTTCTCTCCAATTTAAAAAGACCAAAGAGAACAAAGAGTAAACCAAATCTACAATATATATAATCTAAAGTCTAATAAATAAATATAATAAACAAATAGTCTATGTCTAGTATAGTCTATAGTCTAGTATGGTAGTTGACGAAGACGCTTCAACCAATTATAGCAAAGCAAGTGAGAGCAAATACAAACTGTTACAGCAAACCTGTATAAAGCATGGACAAAAACTTCTAAAAAGTTCATCTGAGGTTAAATAAAATTATTATAAGGTTGATTTAGCATGTTTTATGTCTGTATTGTTTTGTATTTAGCTTTTCATGTTTGTACTACCTTGGGAAACACCTTGTCACAGTGATATATAGATAAACTTTGTTGTTTAGACTATTTTGATAAAAAAAAATGTTTGTGAATATTACTGTGATGCCAGGTGTTTTAGAATCTAAAATATAATAAACAAATATACATATCACAAATGTCTTTGTTTCCCAAGACCCAATGACCAAGTCTGCCAATGAGGTAAGTGGGAGCAACTTTCCAATCTGTTACGCAAACTTTGGTCCGTCTGAGGTTTTACAAAACTTAGAAGGCACGGTTAGCATATCTACGTCTGTATAAACAAGATAAGATTATGTAAAAACAAAATAGGCTAAACATAAATTTGTATTTTGTTCTGTCTTGTTTAAACTTTGTTATTATTCAGACACTTTTAAATAACGAACAAACCATACTTATGTGTGAATATTATTATGATGCCAGAATAAACAAATAGAGTAAAAGTGTTTTAGTAGACCAAACCCATAATAATCGGTAAATCGACTAGGTGATCAGTCAGAGAGAGAAACAAGGAGACCTGTTACGGAGCTCAGGGAGCAGGGACGAGCTAAAGAAAAAAGAAAAATAGTTAAAGTGCTGCTTCATAAGTTTTTTTTCTTCTTTTTAGGCGTTTTTTCTCTTTTTCCACTGCCTTGTGAAATAAGAGTGTAATTTAAATTACATTTCAATTAATAATCATTATTATTATCATCTGACAAAAGCGGTTTATCAATTCACTTGTATCAGATGAACAGAATATAAAGCAAACGAGTTTTTGGACCCTCCAAGCTTCCGTAGGCAGCAGGAGCGAAGGGACCTGCTCGCTGCCACAGCCTGAGAGCATCCTTTTCTTTGCTTTCTTATCATCCTCACCAAAACACAGCAAGATGACGGAAAATCATGGGGATAGCGCCTCTCTACTCTCCGGTTTGCGGTAGAATACCGTTACGGGTTATGTTAGCCGCTTGGCTAGCGTAACATCACGCTTGTTTCCTGATGAGAGCAGACATAATAGCCTGTCTGTGGAAACGAAAAGAATATAGTTATCCAGGGGGGAGTCGAGCTGGACTCAACCTCTAGCTTTTAGTTGTTTTGTTTTTTTTAAATATACATTTCTAAGAACATTTTTGGCAATTAAATGCCTTTGACAATTTTTATGTGCACCTTTTTCTCGGCTGATGAGAATAAAACCTCTGGTGCTCCAGTAAAGAAGATGCAGAGATAGAAGTGTTCGCCTGACAACATCAAGGTAGGTGCTCTGTCTGCTTTTCTGGGATGCATTGTTTCATTCAGCATCGCATCCACGCTTCTCTTTGTTTCCATCCAGCCTCCACACATTTATCTTGCCATCCTGCACCCTCCTGTTTGTATTGAAGCTTTGGATGGTATGGAAGTATGATCGCATGCACAGCCCCCTGCCCCTCTTTTGTTATCATGCACATTACCACCA